TATGTACAATTACGACGGAAATTTGTACCTACCTGTGAAAAGACAAATTCGGGTAATTTGAGCTTATTTTTCCACACACTTGACACTGTCGTACCATATTGAAAATTCGCAGATTCAAAAGTACGTTAAACAAAAACAAAAACAAAACTACTGAAAAACACTGAAAAGTTCACTTCGGACTTGATTCCGACTTCAAACACACCGTAAGCTAAACGTAGTACGCTATAACGGACCAAGGGCCGTCGCGAGGGGTGGTGGGACGGACGGCTCATTTTCATTCTGGAAGACTAGCAGCGACGTTGCCAATAGTTCTAGATGTTTCAGCACATTAAACAGTAAACATGTCCTTTAATAGTAATGTATATATGTTCTGGTTAATAACATATTATTACGCATGCTTCTTTAAAAATAAACTATTAATTTAATTAAGAAATTGAGATTTATTGATATCCGGTGAAGGTTTTAAAGTCACCTTTTCTGCAAATCAAACTAAGTAGATAGGCGCAAATTTGAGATGTGGCAATGTCGCCTTCTCTATCTCAGTTGGTTTTTACAGTACGTAGTCAACCTCCAATTGTTTGATCGGGTTAAAATGCCCAATGTGATATCTGTTCTTCCTAAATCTATGATTAGTATAGATTTATAATAAAAAACAAAACATATTTTATATTAAACGATGATATAACAAAGTTAGTGCTAAATCCCCCCTTACTTTTCATTCACTGATAAAAAGGTAAGGGTGGCAAACTGACACGCCGTGAATATCGGCAAATAAATCGATGGGGTTGGATGCGATAGGAAGAGGGGACGATAAGGGGTGAGAGGGGGGACGTCCCCAAAGTAACGGAAGGGAGAGGGAATCCTCCAGATAGGAAATTAATAAAGCTGTCAAGTTTATATCGCTAGAACGGTTCAATCCGGCTGAGCTAGCGTCAGATTGCGGGGGATGATCGGCGTCATCGGCATCCCCCCTTATTTGTTTTGGACCCTTTATATACAGTGTTTTTGTTTGGACGGTTTTAAAATGGTATTTTCTGAATTTTGATATTTTTTTCCGACGTTATCGAATTATAATTATATGAAATAATTTTCAGAAATTTATTTTGACAAAGAATAAAGAAAAAAAAACTATTTAAAATATTTAAACTCAACTATTCGAGAACACTTTAGCTTTTTAAAACAGATACGTCTACAAAAACCGTTGACGTTCTGTTAAAATGACATTATATTATGAAGTTAAACTTCAAAATTAACAATTACTACCTGATAACAATAATTACTTAATAAGGTAAAATCAAAAAGCCCCAAATTTTCTGTATGATTATTTTTAATTTTTACGTACGTATGTTATGTTTATTTATGTTATGTTCTTTAAAATCAAAGAAGCGATTGCCATACATTACTAACATATACAGATGCATGAGCAATACATTTATTTTTATTAGATTGTATAAAAAAAGCCTCTTTTATTTTTCTTTTAGAGGCTATCGCTTCTTTCACTATAATTTTGGCGTTATTTAAATTTATTCTGTGTCCTGTGTCCCATGAATGCTCACAAATCTTAGATTTGTGAAAATCTCCCTTTCTTAAATAACCTTTATGTTCTTTAATTCTAACATTTAAGGGTCTATATTCATTCATTTACTCATTCTACACAGTAGACGTTTCCAAAATTCTAAAAATAATGATAGCGTGTTATTGCTAAATCTAAAACCAATTAATGCCAGCGGGACGGATGGCTGTAACAGACAAACGGTGTAAATCCGACGCGTAAACGAAACCAATAAAACAAGTTTACATAATAGAACAGATAGACGAGCGATGGAGAGGGATAAAATGGCTGAAAAGTACCACCCAAACGAATAAAATTGTTAATTCATCGCTTGTGAATTATATCATCGACATTCGACACTATTCAATGCCGGTAAATAATGAAAAGCTTTTCGACGCGTTCGGATTTGGGGGAGGGAGAAAGCATTTTTTTGGGGAGTTTTGGGGACATGGAGGGAAAAGGGAATTAATAGTGGAGAGAATCACTGGAAAATTGTAAAAAAATGGTTTTTGTAATTCTAGGATTCTGTATGTTATATTATATGTATATAATTGTGATATACAGTTCTTTTATACTTATATGATTTAAAATTACTATAATATCATCTCTCTGTATATCAGATTCAGCCCATTTAATCTGTTTATATCTCTCCATCCCCCTAGTGTCTCTGTTTTTTTTCTCTCCCTGAAACATCCCCCCGTAACGGATCCTTTTAATATTAATTTTTTCGATGGGCGTGCCTATCAGACGCATCTGCCGCCTCTGTCAAAAAGCTGTCACGGGGACAATTTGCCAACTTTTCTGTCGCGTCGTCACGTCGCGAACAAATAAGGGAGAGACAAAATCGACTTGTGTGAATATTTATTCGGATTAAATGGTTAGAATATATATTTTTTGTCTTTTATTTACTATAATATAATTTACTACAAAAATAGTATATTGTTTTATTAGGAGTAAAAATGACACTTTTTGTCGCGAGACTGTAAGTTTGGCATACAGGCGAGGCACAAAAAGTCATTTTTACTTCGAATAGAACATGCTATTTTTTCAAACGCCACAAATAATATAAGAAGATTTAAAAATCATACCTTGTATGTAATAATGTAATTATATATCGAGAAACAATGGTTACGCTCGTTAAATTTGACATTTTATGTAAGTTTAATAATATATTTTCGTACTTTTATGCTTAGGCGTAAAAGTGCTTTACTTTTAAGCCTAGGCGTAGGCGCCAAGCCTAGATCTAGGCCTAGGCGCAAAGCCTAGATCACGTCGCAAAAATTAACACTTTTGTAACGTCTGAAAAAAAAGGTATATTTTTTCAGGTATCAGAGGTAGCATAATTGTTGTAATCACTATCTGTATGACATTTATCTCAAAACTAAAAAAACACATACAAGACTTTAATAATAAATGAAGAATTTTGGAGTACAAAAAGTCCAGAGAGAACCAATAAATACTAATTTTCCATTGGTTGTTGAGCCCGAACAACTCTTCAGAGAAAAAAACTTAATTAATAGAAATTATATTTACTTTAATTTTGAATAAAAAGTTGAGAGTTACGAAAAGTTCATATTTTTTAATAACAAACACAAAAAATCCATTTTTTTTACTTTTTTGAAATTTTCTCCATGTTCCATTACGAAATTTTGTTAGCAGATTTTTCGAAACCCCTGTACACATTTTTAAAAAATCTTAAATATGTAAAAAAGACAAAATAAAATATACGTGTTTAAGCGTTTTTTCGGAAACTTGACCGTTTTTTAAATAAAAAATATTGTAATATTTGAGGGGTGGTTTCACCCCCTTGGAACTGGAATTTCGAAAAATCCCTTCGTATCGAACCTCTACACCCTAGAATCAACCTGTATGCAAAAGTTGAGCTTCTTTCGTTGAGTGGTTTGAGCAGGATCGTGATTAATCAGTGAGTGAAGAACAATCAATTTTTTTTTTTGAAATGTCAATAATAAAAAAGTTATTTCGGGCTCTTATACAGCCCATCCGGGGACATATCGTAATATAGGAGAGACCCGATCAAAAACGGACGCCAACTAATACCACCACCACCGGCACCGCCGGCAAATCACACGCCTCGAGAAAACTCGATTAATTTCGCCGGCGAAACGGAAATAATTCGCCGAATAACGCGCCAGAAAATAACTTCCTAACCCCCCTACAACCTCCCCCGTACCTCCGCGCGCCCTCCTGCCCGGCTCGGGTACGGCCCGGTGTACCATGAATCAGCCTTAAGACGTAGCTTTTTAGTCGATTGTTCACATACAATGCTGTAAACTTTAAAAAACTAAAAAAAAGCACTATCTGACAAATTTAAAAGTTTGTCAATTACTTCATTCGGGTACAATATACAGGGTGTTTCAAAACAAATGCGACAAACTTCAGGAGGTGATTCCTTGTTCAAAATAGAGGGTAGTGTGCTTTATAAACGTTGGTTCAAAAGTCAACCATTAGGGAGATATCGCGGTGCAAAGATGGCGGAAAAAATAATGTTTTTATTTTTTATCTTGAAAATGAAAAGCGATAGACTAATGAAATTTTATTGAAACACTACTGTTATAAAAACACACTTTCTGGTAATTTTCTCACTTTTTTTAAAATCAGTGGAAGGGGTTGAAATAAACTACCCCTAACGAAATTTAAAGAAAAATCTTATCAAACACATGCAAAAAAATTAATTTGGATAGCTTAGTTTGTTTAGAAACTTTTTTATCTCTTGAGTTTTTTTGATAAAACTCACCAATTTGAAATTAAAAAATAAAATGTAAAGCATTACATGTCAGGACAAAAAACATTTTTAGATAAAGAATCTAGTGGGCTGCTTTTTTTTCCACTCATTTTAAAAAAGTGAAAAAATTACCAGAAAGTGTGTTTTTATAACAGTAATGCTTCCATAAAATTTCATTAGTCTATCGTTTTTCATTTTCAAGATAAAAAATAAAAAAAAACATTATTTTTCCGCCATCTTTGTATCGCGATATCTCCCTAGTGGTTGACTTTTGACCCAACGTTTATGAAGCAAACTACCCTTTATTTTGAACAAGGAATCACCCCCTGAAGTCTTTCGCATTTGTTTTGAAACACCCTGTATAAGTTAAAAAATATCATGTTAGAAAATTGATGTATTTTTTTAATATTTTGTATTGCAATCATTGCAATTTCTTCTCTTCTTACATAAAAATGTGTATTTTGGATGGTATTCCACAAAATTTGCAGGCTGTTGAGAAAGCAGAAAACGTACAGATTCCTGAAATAAATTGAAAATAATATTTATTATATTATGTCACTTTTTAAACATGACCACTTCACTTGATGACTTGCATTTCACATGATGATCACTTCAAATATGCACACATAGTGCACACACTGTTTTTTATATTAAATAAATATTACCCCTAACAAAACTATACTATAAAGGTTATTTTTTCTATTGTTTCAGATACGGAATGGACCTTAATGGTGCCAGGAGAAAAAACGCTACAAGGGAAACAACGAGTACCTTGAAAGCGTGGTTGAACGAGCACAAAAAGAACCCTTACCCAACCAAAGGAGAGAAAATAATGTTGGCTATCATCACCAAGATGACTCTCACTCAGGTAATAAAATTTTAAAAAAATGGTCAATCAAGAAATTTTGAATGCGCGTATAAGTAAAAAAAATGAAGAAATACATTACTAAAAATTGTATTAATCAATAATAAATATTTAAAAAGTAAAAATAAATATGTAAAAATATGTAAAATTAAAAAAAACGATTAAAAAAAAGTCGCCTTGACTAGGATTCGAACCTGCCTTACTACGGCTCCAATGTCATAGCAGCGTAAAGTCCTAACGCCTTAACCACGCGGCCACCGAGGACTTGAAAGATTCTATGTAAAATTCTTACTTAAAAGATAATGTTTAGTGAAAGTACTTTTTTATTTATAACCATTTATTTAATTCTGTTTTTGGTATTTGTTTTTATAGCGGCAACATAGATACATTATCTGTAAAAATTTCAACTGTCTAGCTATAACGGTTCATAAGATAGACCTTTGTGACAGACGGACGAACGGACGGACAGCGAAGTCTTTGTAATAGGGTTCCCGTTTTTACCCTTTGGGTACGGAACCCTAAAAACTCTAAAAAGTACTATAAGACTTTTCTGTAATGTGTATAGCGACAATGACACTGAAGCGATAACAAGTACTCTAATTATCAACATTAATTATATTATTAATGCGCATACCAATTAGTACTAATTAGCCACTACACGACCTGTCAATAAAGGAAAAAAATATTAAAAATCGTTCCACGTTACGTAACGTAATGAATTTGTAATTTATTTGTCATCAAGCTCTTATCGGGCTAGTTTCTGTAATTATGAGGGTAATAAAAGTGTGATATAAACGATATTTTATACATTTCACATGGGCACTTAGTGTTTGGTAATTAATAAAAGTTAAAAAAGTATGTTAATTGGAGAATTTATGGAAAAAATGTTTTACATTTTTGTCATGTCGTTAACTTGTTATCGCAAAATTGAAATAACGAATGTAAAATTTTGTTCAATTGGTTTCCTATCTTTTACAATAACTACAAAAATGAAAACGGCAAACTTATAGATTTATTTTGTCCCATTTTGATGAGTTATAACTCTTAATACAGTCTCAGGACTTTGACAAAACGCAATATCTTGATAATTCGAAGATTGTTTTTACTTAAATCAAGGAAAATCTTTCCTGGTGATTTTTCTAGGTAGTAAGTCCTAAGAAATTTCTTGGAGTGTCTTAGACCGTTGGGGGACTCCCATTCCAGGATGGAGTCTTCCAGGTCCTTGAGTTCGGTTTTAAGTTGTTTTCCACTTGTCACTGGTTCTAACAGATTTTATTTCTTCTTTCCAGGTGTCTACATGGTTTGCAAACGCGAGAAGAAGGCTGAAGAAGGAGAATAAAATGACTTGGGAGCCAAGAAATCGGGTTGAAGATGACGATAATAACAACGACGATGATGACCAAGATAGAAAAAGCACTGATGGCAAAGACCTACTAGGTAAATCAGTTAATTCCATAGTTCAAATATTCGCCATTGAAACGTATACAGGATGTATATAATTTATATCAGTGTAATTTTGATATTTTCAGCTGCAGTTTGGTTTCGGTTGTTGAGTTCAGTTTAGTGGTTTTTCTTGGTTTATATTGTTGTTTTTTTTCATTGATATGTATTTTTTCTCATTGATGTTATTTTTTGTTTAATTTAATTATTTTGTATTGATTTTTTTTTGTGTGTAACCCACTCTGTAATTGGCGTAAGCTGTAGAGTGTTGTAGAATAAATAAATAAATAAATAAATGAATAAAATATACAGGGTGTTCCATTTAAATTAAACAAGTTATTGCCGTTTAAAGCTAGTAATTATTTAAAATAAAATTTTAGACACTCTGTATAAGGTAGTAAACATTTTATTATTGCAACACAATAACTGATCAATAACTAAAATTCAGTAAATATTTAATATTAAAAAAATTAATCCCGTTGGAGAAATGAAGCCCTTAAATTTTTACTGCAATTTCATAAAATTGAAAATATTTAAAAAACGGTAAGGTTTAAGTGTGATAAATCTTAATCAAATTTATCTTTATTTCAATGGTAGAATCTAAAAATAGAATAATATACAGGGTGTCCTATTTAAAAAAATAAAACTATAATATTTTTACTTATTTGAGTCACTCTGTATATTGTAATAATATTTTTAAATTGTACCTCTAATAGTCCTTCAACGAACTCAAAACTTACAATTTGTAAAAATCTAATCGTTTAGCTACAATACTCCGTGTCGTATGTGGTGAACAACCCTGTATAATACTATAATAAATTATCCAAATTTTGGTAGTGTGAAGTACATCAGCCTTATGTACAGTCGCCATTTTGATTCAACTCTCTCTAACTAAACTATTTACATGTCAATCATGAAATCATTAATGGTTCATACTAATATCACCCTCTCGTCGAATGCTTCTACTTAAAGCATCCAAAGACGCTTCCAGCCTAACTCTTGTCCATTTTTTCCAGATTCCAAAGACTCCGGCACAGCATCCAGCGAGGACGGCGATAGGCAACCCCATTCCCGCCTAGCCCCCGACACTGCATCAGAATGGAGCGAATCCCGACCGGATAGTGGTCCAGATAGTCCAGAAATATACGAACGACCTCCCCACCCCGCCTTCCTGCCCCCTAGAACCTCAGGGGGCAGTCCCCCTCCCCAAATCAGTCAAAGTCCCGTCACTACCAAGCCGCGCATTTGGTCTTTGGCGGATATGGCTTCGAAAGAGAGCAATGAAGTGTCTCCTGGCAGTACCATGTATTCTACGGCTTCAAGTAGGCTGATGGGGTCGTTAGGGACACGATTACCTCCTCCAGGACTTCATACAGCACCGTATGCCAGACCTCATGACTTTTACAGGAGTCTGTACGGTCCTCAACATCTTATGGCGTCACAGGGGAGTTCTCCAGATGCGAGTTTACTGGAGACGTACCAGAGGACGCTGGCAGCGCAACAGAATGCTGTTAAAACGAGTCTTTCGAGCAGCAGTTCGTCAAGTACCGGTAACCCTTTAGCTAGTTCTTCAGCTTTAAGTATTTCGACGTCCTCCAGTGGAGGACTTCCTCTAGGACTAACGCATCCTAGTAGAATGTCACCGTCCTCAACGACAAGTTCTTTGAGTTCTGCGGGAGGTGAAAGTCCTTTGAAACCGATAGCTTTGAATAAAGTTTGATGTTAACGAACTAAAAACAAATCGAAATGAACTGTATATTAGATTTTTTTCTCAATTTTTTTTGCCTATCTACCTCTCAAATTAAAAGTTGAAATGTGAATGTGATTGAATGAGAAAAAATGGTGAGAAAAAGAAGAGGTACATAAAGCAAAGAGCCGAATTTTTCTTCTTGAGATAACGTACTAGTTTTCCCTCGTGTTATAGGTTTTTATTTGGACTAAAAACTCATATCTATTTCTATGAAAGACCAAAATGGACAATACTTAAAATTAAAGTTTAAGAATGCCTTTTTTGATTTCGTAGCGGCTTGTACAATATATGTGATATATTTATCTGTTCCTTAGGTATTTTTTGAAAATATTGGCAGTCGCGTAGTGTCCTAAACACTCACACAGAAATGTACAGGGTCGGGTTGACAGATTTTTTTATAAAATATATTAGAACACATCCCTGGATGTGCTCTAAATAAATAAAAAAAATTATATTATAAACTTTTAGAGAAAAAAATTCTTCATAAAAATTTTTACTTGCTTTAAAATGGTTAATCCCGTTTATACTTCCAAATTTTTTCCTACAAATCAAAACTTTGATTGATGGTTTCCAATCTTTGATAGAAAATCATTAAAAAAATGTATAATCACCATTTCCGTAGCATTGAACCAAATAAATTTTGTACCACTTTAACATATTAAAGCAGCAAAAAAGATGACAATCAAAATTAATAATAGCCATCTTTCAAAAAAAGAAAACCTAAAAAACGCGTTTTGATTTTTGAAGTTTGCAAAAATTTCAAGTTCAAGTATATTTTCATATTTTTAAATTTTTTGGAAATTTGGAAAAATTTAAACAAAATTAACTATTTTAGATCAAGCAAAAACTTTAATGAAGATTATTCTTAAGTATTTTTCTTAAAAAATTAATAACAAAAAGATTTCTCTTGTAAAAACGATCTGGGGACATACTGTACATCAAATAAGTATCTACATTAAATTCAAAAATTCAGAAAAAATGATATTTAAGATAATAAAAAATATTTTTTTTTATAAAATTTAACATCCTGTATCTTTAAAACTATGCATTTCCGGACATATGTTTATAGGAACTTTTTTTCATACTTTTGTACAAGGAATCAAACCCTGAAAATTTTACGTGCATTTTTGAAACACCCTGTATGTCAAAATTCGCAAATAAATTTTCTTTGGTACGAAAAAATATTAACCCGGCCCTGTACTTAACCTAGTGGCTCAAAATTCGACAAAATAATTAACTTAAATCCCGATACCCGGTGCAATACATAGTATTTTTTATCGGTACGTTGATCAATCTGTCAAATTTTGATTCACAATCTCCACCAAAAAAAAACTCTCTTGTAAATATTCCGTTCTCTTTATTATTCGCCACAAAAATTCGAGAATATTCCTCCCGTTTTATGTGGCGGACAGTGTATAGCGTCGGACTGCCCGAATTTTGTCGAGCAGTATAAAAATGAACTCTAATAATTTGTATCATTGTATCTATATGTATATGTATAAACTAATAACTAATAATTTCTAGATTCTAGTAGAGTATGTTGTATTTAAAGATAAAACTATATACAGGGTGAGGTCGTGAACGGTTTTTCTTGTCTACAGAGTGATATAATTTGAAAAGTTACCAATCTGGAATATTTCTTAAAACAGAAAAAAATTCAGAGAACCTTTTCTTTGTCTATGAGAAGGTCAAAATTATTAGTTTTGTATAAAAAAAAATGTTTTGAATAATGTCTACAGGGTAAGTCAAAAAGCACCTCATTTTGGTTCTTTCTTCAAAGCCCAGATTTATCTAAGAGATATTACTGATTGCTGCTATTCAAATATTCACCCTGTATATGTGAAGCTTGTTGAGCAATGTGTCATCCTGTAATATAATAGGATACGATATTTAATAATAAAAAAGTAATCTAGATACAAACTCGTCTGTGTAAAAAAAACAAATTAAAAATATACACTTTAATTTCAGGAATTTTCTCTTAATATATATCTGTCTTTGTCTGATACACTCATGTTTGAAATGTTTATATTTTTGTTATTTTCGTTTTCGAAAATCTTCCTGTTCAGTTCAAATAAACATATCGATAAATATAGACCAGAAATGTTTTGAAAAAAATCAGTCGTATGTAAATTTTGCTGCAATAAATATATTGAACATTATAAAAAGTTGCATTTTTATTTATGTTGGGAATTTGAGAGGGAAAAATATTTTTGATACATAAGAAAATACACATATTTAAAAAAAATGTACTGACTTAAAATATACATCAGTATAATAATAAAAAAAGTTACTTCTACAATACGATCGAAAAAAAAACAGCGTCAAAAACGGCGGGGGAATGAATATTGATGGTAATTTCGGCCAGGTCATGCCGTAGATCATTTTAACGGTGTAGAAAACATTTTTTTGTCAATTCTTGACAAGTTTTATGTTAATTTTTAGTAAACGACATCTAGAGACTGAACTCGCCAAAATTATCATCGATTTTCATTTCTTAGCCATCTTTGACGCCGTTTTTTTTTCTGACGCCATCTTGACGCCGTTTTGACGTTTCGATCATACGGTATATTTCCATAAGAGGAAATGTGTTGGAAGGAGATGAGTTTACTCACTGTGATATTGCTATTATTGTTGTGCTTATTGTGACTATGTGTGTATAAAAAACAAGCCACGTTTTTTTAACTAAGTGTGATAGCATTTAGGTCTGGCCTTTAAAAAAAATCAGGTCCGTATTAAAATAAAACAAAGTTGACGTTGGTATTTCCAAAATAAAACGTCTGATTTAAAATTTAGATGTACCATCTTATAAAGAGAAAAAAGCGTCAAAATAATGTGAAATATGTAAATGCATATTTAAAAATATCTCTTTAAATAAACTTAAAAAAACAAAAAACGATTTTACGGTGATTTTCCCCGAATATTTTTAAACAGCCTCTACACTTTGAGGAGAACTATTCGAAGCAGGTGAAGCTCGTATTTATTTCTCGTCGTTTTTCAGGGCGTGGGGAAATATTTTTGGCGTTTTCTGTTGGCCTCATAATTTTGTTTCATTTTGAGTTATTTCCAAAACGTGGCGGTATCTGTACCCGAGGCAAAGGACTTTTTTTCATAAATCTCAGTAAAATAAGTTAACCTAGACGTTTCTAAAATAGCTGTTTTGTTACGATGATATTTCGTTAATTACATCTCGTTTTATATTGATAATATTCCATAGCTAGACAGTTGAACGGAAATCAACCTTTAAGGTACCTAAATCTTTCGTATCTCTTATCGTTTCTGAGGTTGGGACACACTGTATATCAACGAAATTATACTGAAGAATTGTAATGAACAAAAATGGATAAAAAAGGACGAAAGAATGTCTGGGGACAAGTTGGGATGGAAAAAACGGAACAATATAAACCACAACGCGAGATATAGTTCGACTCGGAACAAGATATATCGCAGAACGGAGCCTGTATAGCGATGCGCTGGTCCCTGGTGGTCCCCCATCGCCAAAATTTCGTCGTCCGATGGTACGCGGTCGCCGGTACCATTGTTAAAAGGACTCCGTTTGACGAGACGGACCTCACGGGATTGGACTACCGGGACCAGTCAGAAAGTACCACGAGAAAGAATATCTAGGAAAAAAAATAACTTGAAGGTAAGTACAGATTTGAGTTGCATTTTTTGATTAACTTGTTGGATTATTAATCTAGAAGATGATGCAAGAAATTATTCAATGCAAGAAATTATTCAATTCATTCATCATTTGTTGGTATAGTAGGTAACACAGTACTAAAAATTGGTCAAGTGCAAATCGGATTCGCGCACGAAGGGTTCCGTACCATTCATTATCTATACAACATTAGACATTATATTATTATAAATTTGTTTCCGATTTAGCTGAAATTTTGAATGCGCGTATAAGTAATTTAAAAAAAAATGAAGAAACACATTACTAAAAATTGTATTAATCAATAATAAATATGTAAAAAGTAAAAATAAATATGTAAAAATTAAAAAAAAAACGATTAAAAAAAGTCGCCTTGGCTAGGATTCGAACCTGCCTTACTACGGCTCCAACGTCTAGCAGCGTAAAGTCCTAACGCTTTAACTACGCGGCCACCGAGGACTTGAAAGATTCTATGTAAAATTCTTACTTAAAAGATAATGTTTAGTGAAAGTACTTTTTTATCTATAAACATTTATTTAATTCTGTTTTTAGTGTTTGTTCTTATAGCGGCAACATAGATACATTATCTGTGAAAATTTCAACTGTCTAGCTATAACGGTTCATAAGATAGACCTTTGTGACAGACGGACGGACAGCGAAGTCTTAATAATAGGGTTTCCCTTTTTACCATTTGGGTACGGAACCCTAAAAACTAAAAAGTAAAAAAATACAGACAAATACTGTTTTTTTTTCTTTAAAACTTCTTCACACGCGCTGGGAGTAAAAATTCAAAGCCGTGGCACACGAGCTAGCTAGATGACAACAAACACCAAAAAACATTTGTTTTAAAGTCAATAAAATCGTTATAATAAACTAGATCTGTACCTGGGTACCAGCATCCTCTGGTTGGGTGCTAGGAAGTAAATTTTCATGCATATTTTCGTCGAGAGGTTTGTAGCTTCTGAATAACGGTCTAGGTAAAGCATCTAGCTCATTTACTAGCTCAGAATTAGAATTATTAGAGTTAAGCAACTCGCATTTTCATTGGAGGATATTGTCATATTTATTTTAAACCAATAATCAACGAGAATATTCGTATAATTTAACAAAATTACTGTAAATCACTATAAATAATGTAAACAAAAAAAGAATTAACTACATGGTGAATCTTCTAGTTAATTTTCCAAGTAATTCAAATCAAATGGTTGTTTTTCTTCAAGCTTCCACGTGCCTAAAACATTCACCCTCACTCATACATAAATAACTTTCCAGCCACCTTAAAGCCATTCGGCTCATTTTGGATGAGACACTTCACGTCACAACATTAAACGAATAACCACTAATTACAAACACATGCTCTCCTCCCAGGCATCGTTTACATGCCTTTTCTTTTTTGGCATTCTTCGGTAAAAAAAAATCTCCACATTGTTTGGTTTAATTTTAGACATAATATAAACTAATATCACAGATTATACAGATTATAAACTTTGTTTTTTCTTTATTGTTTTTCGTGGTTCCAATTTTCGAAATCGGGCACTAGTTAGGTAGTTTGCGCACATAGCATGCCCATTTATGGCCTGTAAAATTGTGCACAGCGCCTGACCGGCACAGTTATTAGAGAGATATCGGAAAACCGAATAGCGTCACGCAGTATTTACGCGTACCTTATCATGGTTACGATATACGCGAGTCAATTTTAACGCAACACCCGCTAATAACGTTACCGCCTGACGTAATTTGCGGATCAATTACACTAAGCGCTATTTCTAAGTAACGTTTAAAAAATTGCTTAAATGGGCATGTGCGGGTATTTGACAACCGGGGCCGGCCGGCAAGATCTTTTTTTTTTAGGTTATGTTTGAATTGTTTTGAATTATTGTTTTAGCTTTATTAACGTGCGTATTCATTATCCGAACGAACGAACGAAAGTGCGGTATATATTTAGACGGGGACCGAACGCATGCGGCCGTTCGTTCGTTCGTTCGCTCGACCATCCGTTTCGAGTCGGTACATCAAAGGCGTTCGCATCCGATATTCTCGTGCGGTCCCCGTCCATACCACTAGCGAACATTCGTTCGTTCGTTCGTGCGGATAATGAATACGCACCTTTAGGTAATTTGATATTTAAGTAGCTGGGATTAGTTTTAATTAAATAAATATGGCCCAAAATATGGATTCCACCTCTTCCAATATTAAAGAACCTATAAAGAGGTTTAGGCTTACAGCAGATGACGACTTAGCCCTTCTAAGAGAATTTGTTGCTTGTTGCCCTAAACCCACTGGCAGACGTTGAACAATAAAGCACTGAAAATAAGCACTTTAGCTCTTTAATTTTAAAATACCTAGTAAACAAAACAATTTCAAAATTTTAAATTCAAAGTTAGGTTAAGTTTAAATAGCGGACGCGACGCGAACAGAATTCTTTCCGATCCGATAACTATAAATGAAGAGAGTTAATACCACCTCACGTAAAGGAAATAACACCTGGCCTTATTAACGTCCATGCACGCTATTCGGTTTAGCGATAGCTCTCTATTACGCTGTTTATTGTTATTTTACGCGAGTTTATTTTTTAGGAAATTTGACTCGTTTGCACGTCGTCATAAAAAACAATTTTCGTACCACGAATTAGGGACAAGATTTTTATCTGTATACTTATAGGATACCTAATCTGTGCTAATATCAACGATAAATCGAAGAAGGGTAATATTTGTATTAAATTAAATATAAGGAATATATTATTTAACGAGAAAAAAGTCTATTTTATTATAAAGAGTGTCTCCTAAATAAGATACAATATTTTTAAGTAATGGTATACATATCTGGAGAGAAGATATTTTTATTCGGAATGCCACTGGTATAATTAAAATTAATTTTCGTAAATTGTGTAGGAATTTAAAATTACTCTGTACTTATAAACATGGAAATACTTGCAATTATTTCATAGACATCCTGTATATCCATTTATTCGATGTTAGTGTAAGTATAGTTTCTTAAAAAGAAATGGTGTACTAAAATATGTAGAATTAGCTTAAAGGAATAGGATTGTATACGTCATTGACCTTATATAAATACTTAAACCATTTCAAATTTTCCACTACAATGTCTACAATAATTTGTATTATTTAAACAAAAGGTTGTTTCTTTTTCTAACAGCGTCAATGTGACCAACGTGTAAATAATTTAAATTAAAATAAATAGTTATATTAACCCTTGTTACAAGTCTCATCAAATATCAAGAAAATACCATTTTTATATAGAATATTTCTTGAAAAAAAAAATAAACCTTTGAAACGATTTTTACTTAAAAGTAAAGAGGGAAAAAGTAAATAAGCCTACATAGCGGCTGGTTTCAAAGAAAACCGCAAAATTTGGCAGGGTGATTAAAAGCTCTTCTTTTATTTTATCTTCGTTTCAGCTAATTGGGAGAATTTTTTCACGGCTGCTGGTCCGGAACATTTATTTTATTGACGTAAAATCCAAGAAATGCGGAAAAAAAAT